CTTGCTGATGGTATATATCCAAAGTGGGCCACGTTTGTCAAAACAATTTCATGTCCAAGAGGCAATAAGCAAATATATTTTGCACAAGCTCAAGAGTCATCCAGAAAGGATGTTGAGAGAGCTTTTGGAGTGCTCCAAGCATGATTTGCTATAGTTCATGGGTCTGCACGTTTCTGGAAACTTGAAGTGCTTAAGGATATTATGAAGGCATGCATAATATTGCATAACATGATTGTCGAGGATGAGAGGGACAGTAATGAAATGGACTTTAGTTATGATGCATCGGATGAAATTCCTACTCCTAAATTGATATCCGAACAAAGTTCAGAACTGCTTTAATTTATTCATACTCAACATTGCGTTCGAGACAGAGACACTCATTCGATACTTCAAACTGATCTAGTCGACCACTTGTGGAATATGCATGGAATGTTTTAGGCAGTAACATGCTACGAATATTTAATCATTCATTGTCTACGAATATTTAAGCATGCATAATATTACAGTACTTGTTTGTTGTACTACTACTCCAAAAGTTGTTAGTCTATGAATAAGAAAGAACTACATTTTCTTTGCCATGATTTCCATCCGAAGGTGCTTAAAATATTCAAATTGAACCGGAGGCATGACACTCATATCCATCAACATTATTTTTTGTTCCTCCTTTATTTGTTTGAGTTTTACGTTCTCTTGTTCAATAGCCAACATCTTTTTCGTGAAATCTACTTTTTTCTTCGCCATCTTCTTTTTCTCCTCCTTCAATTGTATAACCAGAACTAGCTATAATACCTTAAATATGAAATCAACAAATGCTTATTTAATTAATTAGGAGGTACGTAACAAAAAAGCTACAACTAATAAAATTCAACTTATGCGCAATCAAACATAACGTCCAAAATGATTGTCACACCCGGGGCAGAACTATATGAGATAAAATTAATAGAATGATTGTTGAAATAGGCAGAACCACATAAAATAAAGCTAAGAGAATGATTGTTAAAATGACTCAGCCATTTGGTTTGGTATAGAGACTAGAAATTTAGTTCAAGTTAAAGTAGTCAGGCAAAAAAGAAAATCAAATAAGGAAACCATGGTATGATTGATATATAAGCAGCAGATATGAGCCTAGACCAAGCTCAATGGCATAAGCATATCTGTAGTGGACCACAAGTACTTCGGAAGTATATCATATCCATTTGAAACTCGTAAGCTTAGTATGATTGTGATGGTAATGAATATCTAACTAAATGGTCAAATTGATTTCTAGTATATATGCTTATATCAGAAGCTTCTAGAGCATTGAGTGCCTCTGGCTAGAACTCATCCAATAGGGTAGTTGAATTTTCTAGGCTACAGGCTACCTAATCACGAACAAGTCTCCAAAAGGATGATGAGCTTGGGACCAGCATAACATTTGACATACGCATGTGGGAGATAGACTAATGAATCAAAGAGCACTACTATAGCCTAGACAGATGGCCAAGGATCATATGAGAAATCAAGATGTCCCTGCAAACCAACATCAAAGATACCCTACTCATTTACTGCATATGAAAGGAAAAGAGACAAGGTTGTAACTGCTAGGACATGATAGAGTAGTATTCATGTAGTTAATAAGAGGCTCCAAGACCTTTAATCATGGAATATCAGCTGGAGGTCATCTTATTTCATGCTTATTTACATGTCCTACTGGATTTGAATCCACAATTTAGCCCTAATATAATCACAAGCAACCACTAGGCCGAAACGACTATAATAGATTTACATGTCCTACTGGCATCAAGACTTGAACATGTTCTAAATCATTATGTCACCACATACATAGGGCGTTCACCTCCAACAGTCAAATATTTGTTTCCTTTTTATCCTGCATTCTTCTCCAACTTATTCAAAAATTTCAATGAATTGCACTGCATTTCCATTTTCACACATCCCTTCAAATTTTATGAATGAAAAAACATCATATAAACATTTCAGCCCAAAAATCGAGTCACCATTGACCATCCCCAATATAGAGCATGTTAGGTTCATGAAATAACAAGAACACATAATCAGTATTAGATCATATCTGATGACCTCAACTTTCGAGTAAAAACCTAGAAAATTAATAATGCAAAGTTTGCAATTATCATAATACAAGGGTAAAAACATAAATAGAATCATTGAAATATATTCATTTAAAGGCAATTTTTCTTATTTTTTGAGATGCAAAAATATTGATTAAATTTTTATATTCAAGTTTTACTAATATATTCTCTTCAATAGATAATATATCTAATTTATTTAATCTTTCTTGTGACATAGTTGATCGGAAAAAAGATTTTATTAATTTAAGATTGAAAATTTTCTCTCCGCCGAAGCTACTATGGCCGAAATTGTTAACAATATTCTAAAAGTTATACATGCATTTTTGGAAAAGAATCTAATCGTTTTATATAATTCAGGGTTTCAGTTAGAATGTTAATTTCATATTGTAAGGCTTTCTTAATACATTCAATTCTTGAAATAAATCTAAACCATCTATATCAAAAAATAAGTCATGCTTCAAAAAATTTTCAAGGTTAAGACAATACATTTTCAAACTATCATCATCTAAAGATTTTAATTTTTTAAAACAAAATAAAAAACCAAAAATATTTTCATATAATTTGAATTGTTCAAACCTACTTTGGATTGAAGAAATAACTAAATCAACTACACATAAAAAAGAGCAATACTATATGGACTTTATTTGAGGACCTAATGATGTGCCTTCAATGCAACCATTGGATTAGTTGTGAGTTCCAATGTTAGTTGAAGCTCACAACCAATCCAATGGTTATACATCATTACGTCCCCAAATAAGGTCCTCAAATTAGGTCCAAATAACATTTTCCTATAAAAAAATATTCAATCCTAAAAGATTCTTCAGTTGATAGTGTTACTACATTCTCCACTACATAACCAAATTGCTTTTTCCTAAGAATTTTATAGTTTTCACAAAATGCTGATTCTATTTCCATTTCAAGTGCAGTCTATTTTGATGAAATCAATTTTCTCTATATGATTCTAAAAAATAAATAAGTACTTTTAATTGATCAATAACAACATCAATATGAATGCCTTTGCATTGCAAATTTTTACTAACTACGTTAACAACAAACAATATATCATACCAAATATTCATACCCAATAAAAATTCAAAATTTTAATCTCATATGGAGCTAACCATATGGCTTCACTTCTTATTTTTGAATCTTCACTAGTTTTTACTAACAGTAATACTATGCTGAGCAAATTTTATGGCTAAATTTAGAGCCTAAATGACATGATAACATATTATTTAGAGTTTTTATTGAAGTCTAAATGACATGACACCAAATAAAGAAACTCAAATCAGCTGCTATGTCATTTGGGTTTCAAATTTTATCCCAAAATTTGGTCAGTGTAACATTACTGTTTTATTAATTGAATGGAAGCATATCATACTTTTGCTAATTGAATTTATTTTTTCATTGTTAAGAAAGAGAGAGACGTTGTTGTTGAAGTCTAGGCATTTAATACAGTTGGCAAGTGGAGCAATTTACTAGGTAAGTTGTTAAAGAGCTAATGGGCCTATTAATAAATTTTGGACCCCCTCAAATTAGTACATTCAAAAAATATGTACTTATAACTATAAATATAAATTGGGGGTCCCAAAATTTTACAAAAATTGGTTGCCCTAGGCAGTCACCTAAGTGGCCTAGGCCTAGGGCCGGCCCTGCTTCAAACACATGATATGACTAATTATATGACATTCTATAATGCAGGTATATAAGTTTATCAAATTGCTCGAATTGTCAAGATGATTGATTATATTGGTCGAAATTTGAACTTTGGCCAAAAATTGATGCCACTATTATCAAAGTTGTCAAATCTTGTTGTACTCTCAGGTGTAACCATGAAGGTCCTTTACTACAAAATGTTTTATTTAAGTCATATCTATTAACCCAAAAGAACAGTATGTGTTTGAATTGCCTAGAGACAAGATTATTATTGACCTATTGAGGTAATTTTACACCACGTAATGTTTACAAAATCAGCAAGTATACCATCATATCATGGACATGTATGCTTAGGGTATTAAAAGTGTCTTTGAATTAAGTATTAGAATTGATCGGATTGGATATGAATAAATGATGCCATTTATGAGCACATATGCAAAATTAGGATTTTAGATCATACCGAATTACAAATATTTAACACATTCCAATATAATCATTTCAAATGATATACATCAATAATCCTATCGGATTAAAATTGATGAAGATTTCACCTAAACTTTGCCCTTTAATTCGAAATATCATTCAGTGTTATCTACCTTATCACTTTGGATATTTTAACCAAGAATACTCCTACTTAAAAACACCAAGAATACAGGCTGTGCTAGTGAGAATTATTGGTATGCATGCACTTACGAGGGGGGAAGCATCTTTGTGGCATAAGCTTTTGTTAGAAATTTTAATGGCTTCTGTGACAAAATAATAAGTTTCTCTAATGTAATAAGACAAATGTTGAATAACATAATCACCACACCGAAACACAACGGCTAAATTTTCTAACACATATCATGAAACATAGTCATGATAGTGTCCAAATTCGCCACATCTTGAAGTAGTTCCCCCACCCCCAACCAGAATGCATGTGTAGAAGCAAAAGTTCAGAATCGTGGGTACAGCGTCAAACCAACAGAGAGCGCCAATATAATAGACAGCATCAATAATCGAAAATTGACTATGGACAGTTTTTTTTTTTTTTCTCATGGACCAGCAAGAGGCTGCAGCCACAGTCTCCTTTGATGAACCGCTAAAAAAAATAATAAATGGAAGGTAAAAGATCGATATAACTGAAACACGATTCACATGTCACTTTAAATCAGTGCACATTAACAATACTTGGGGAAGACATGTATCAAATGGGAGTTACACGGAAAATTTTCTCAATTCATTCATTGAAGGCTAACCACAATCTAAAGGACTTACTTCGATCCAGTTTGCTGCCTCCCATCTGGAATAGCAAATAAAACTGTGGGCCTTGAAGGCCTCATGAAGGGAACGTCACATCTAAAGTAGCCTTTCCTCTCCAGCTGCAGTATTTCTCCATGCTTCAAGCTCCGCAAATTTGAATCTCCAAGGGCTACAGTTTCCTTTTTCGTACATGGGTTAAGTACATCAAGGAAATCCTCATCTTCTTTGAGCTGAAAGTGCAAACAGTAACAAAATTATATCATCATCAACCAGAGTACCTTTCTAAGCAAAGAGGAATGGCTTAGTGACTAGTGTCTTTCCCACCTTGCCTCTTGGTGCAAGGTNTGATGCCATTTATGAGCACATATGCAAAATTAGGATTTTAGATCATACCGAATTACAAATATTTAACACATTCCAATATAATCATTTCAAATGATATACATCAATAATCCTATCGGATTAAAATTGATGAAGATTTCACCTAAACTTTGCCCTTTAATTCGAAATATCATTCAGTGTTATCTACCTTATCACTTTGGATATTTTAACCAAGAATACTCCTACTTAAAAACACCAAGAATACAGGCTGTGCTAGTGAGAATTATTGGTATGCATGCACTTACGAGGGGGGAAGCATCTTTGTGGCATAAGCTTTTGTTAGAAATTTTAATGGCTTCTGTGACAAAATAATAAGTTTCTCTAATGTAATAAGACAAATGTTGAATAACATAATCACCACACCGAAACACAACGGCTAAATTTTCTAACACATATCATGAAACATAGTCATGATAGTGTCCAAATTCGCCACATCTTGAAGTAGTTCCCCCACCCCCAACCAGAATGCATGTGTAGAAGCAAAAGTTCAGAATCGTGGGTACAGCGTCAAACCAACAGAGAGCGCCAATATAATAGACAGCATCAATAATCGAAAATTGACTATGGACAGTTTTTTTTTTTTTTCTCATGGACCAGCAAGAGGCTGCAGCCACAGTCTCCTTTGATGAACCGCTAAAAAAAATAATAAATGGAAGGTAAAAGATCGATATAACTGAAACACGATTCACATGTCACTTTAAATCAGTGCACATTAACAATACTTGGGGAAGACATGTATCAAATGGGAGTTACACGGAAAATTTTCTCAATTCATTCATTGAAGGCTAACCACAATCTAAAGGACTTACTTCGATCCAGTTTGCTGCCTCCCATCTGGAATAGCAAATAAAACTGTGGGCCTTGAAGGCCTCATGAAGGGAACGTCACATCTAAAGTAGCCTTTCCTCTCCAGCTGCAGTATTTCTCCATGCTTCAAGCTCCGCAAATTTGAATCTCCAAGGGCTACAGTTTCCTTTTTCGTACATGGGTTAAGTACATCAAGGAAATCCTCATCTTCTTTGAGCTGAAAGTGCAAACAGTAACAAAATTATATCATCATCAACCAGAGTACCTTTCTAAGCAAAGAGGAATGGCTTAGTGACTAGTGTCTTTCCCACCTTGCCTCTTGGTGCAAGGTTTGAGTCTCACCAAGTCCCCCTCCCTTGTATGAATTGTGACCAAAAAAAAAAAACTAGAGTTCCTTTCTTATTCACGTTATAACAAGAAACATTATATAATGTGTGGAATTCTTCTCCATGAAGACATTTGCAGCCATATGTATGGCACAGGTTTTGAGTAGTATCATGCCACAAAGACAAATTAAGTACCATGAATCCAAAATGATAGAGAATATTATGACTAAAAGCACCAAAAAGGAACCAACTGGCTCTCAGTAAACCAGCATATACCTTCTTCTTTGAAATTAAATAGTCGAACTCTACAAAAGAGAGTGTTACAAGTTCACTTATGTCCGGCAGCCAGGTGAGCTTCAACTTTGTGGTCTTAACAGATCCCTCAAGATGCAAAACCCCAGCTAAATGCGTGACATACCCATCTTGGCCCTTTCTAATTTCTTTTACAATTGCATTCCCCCAATCCATTAAGGTCACTTCCTCATCCATCGAGATTGATTCAGCATCAGCATGATCTATCCATATTCTCTGTGTAAGTAGTAGCCTTTTCCCGAGCATCTTTGTATTTCTTATGCATTGGTATGATCCGAACAAATGGATCCTCAGGTCCATTAGTTAAAGTCAGCAAAACACGCCGTTCTTCAATGACAGCAGTATGTCTGGAACACACAGGAAAGATAATCTTCTTGTTAATGGTCCAGAGTTTGTCCCATTCCATGAGATTAAGATTCTTTGATGCTCCCTAAAACAAAAGAAAAGAGGACAAGATTAAGCTTTAGAGAAAAATAAATCTATGAACCAACTTTTTCCAAGGTTTTAGGATATATCTAAGACAATAATGCACATGCCATACATTACAAGCTTTGTTAGACACAGCAATTTGGGAAATAAATTTCAATAGAAGGTTCCAGCCATGGTAATCTCACTGACCATAACCTACATCCGTACCACAACAGAGAGAGAGGACAACCCCAAAACTATCATGTTCTGTTTTCCTAGTTAAGAAAGGAAGAGAGCAGGAGACAGAGCGGGAGATCCAAAATATGTATTACTGCTTTAATCATGTCATTGTAACATGTCTGCAAAAATCCAGTGTAGGACAAAATTAATCAAAGGAATCCTTATGCACGTTTTGTGGACAGCTCTGTGACCAACTTTTGATCACTGCTAGAAAACAAAATCTTACTTGTTCAAGGATGAACTGTACCAAGGCCTCGACTTTCAGGCCCCTGCGCACAATTCCTTGCACTGTGGGGAACCGAGGGTCATCCCACCCATCAACCTTTCCATTTTGAACAAACCATAGAAGCTTCCGCTTGCTGAGAAGTGTATATACCATATTCAACCGGCAAAATTCATATAAGAGAACCTTTCGAGCTCCCATATCTTTTTGAATCCTGAAATACTGAGCATTGCGATCATGGTACTCACTAGATCGAAGTGCATGTGTAATACCTTCTTCAGCGTCAAAGAATGGACATGCAAAATCATAAGTGGGATAAATCTTATACTTAGACCCAATCCTATGGTGGGGCATAGGATTGCAACGATAATATACTGGATCCCTAAGTGACTTGTTTGGGTCCTGCATATCCAGCTTCCCTCGGAGACAGCACTGTAAACCCCTTTCAGATCCAGCAATCATTTCCTCCCACAATTTCATGTTCTCTTCGGAGCTGTTGTTCCTACACTTTGATTCAATTCCATCCATCCTTTCTTTCTGCATTTGATCACGCGGTGTATCATCAACATACGCCTTACCCTCACAAATCAATTCCTCAGCCTTTTCCATTAACTTAGGGAAGTAATCCGACATATATGTAACCTTCTCATACTTAATACCCAAAGTTTGAATATCCTTCAGAATATTATCCACAAATTCATTGCTTTCTTTAGCAGGATTTGTATCGTCGAAGCGCACAATCACCTGACCTTGGTACCTTTGAGCAAAATACTGGTTCAATAGTGCTGCTTTTGAATGCCCAATGTGAAAATAACCACTAGGTTCAGGTGCGAAACGCAACTTCACTTTTCCAACTTCAGCATCCGGAAGATCTACTTCAAATGTGGGCCGATTGCCTACATTGCCCTTTCATTAGCACTGCCATTTACATGCTTGGAATGAGGATTAGAATCCTGTTGCTCTTTTCCTTTTACTTTGGATGCCATTGGCTTTCCCAAGCCCTTTTTCCCAACAAATGTTGATATGACCTCACTCAAGGCATCATTATATTCTACAAATATTGAGTTGAACCACCGCACTAGGTTTTGGTATTTCTTCGACTTCCTCAAACTTTCCCACCTCTGCCCAGTTCCTGCAAAGAGCAAAAATTTTAGTATTTGCAGAAGTGCTAAATGTATGCATACTGGGCATCAAGGCACACATGAGGATTAACTAGTGTTAGAATGTACATTCATTTAGTCCAAGAACTAGGAAGAAAGTGACGCATCATGCTCTGTATCAAAACAGATATCCAACTAAAAGAGATCCTGGTGATGAGGCATGTTCTTAATTAAATTACTATATATAAGTACGTATAGAGTACATATAGTAAGTGCCCCTTATGACCTGTTTCAACAAACGAATTAATTATGGAGCAACCCCATGAAAGAAATATTAATAATTCACATAAATTACTTAGTGGGAAATGCCCAATCAGTATAGACATCCCATGCAATTTCAACTAGTATTTAAAGGATTTGCTCAATGATTTCTTCCTTCCTTTAATTGTTGCTTGTTCATGTAAAATGATGGCCCATTCAATAGGAAGTTCTTCAAAATTTAATATCTTTCTACAAAATTTCATCATCACCATCATCATCATCATATTATTATTACTATTATTATTATTATGAACTTATGAAGCATAGTGAGCAATAATCAAATTAAGTAATCATAGATCAACTGTACCATCAACCATTTCAAATAAAAATTCAAACAAGAATACAACAAAATGCACGGCTAAAAAACATCAAAGCATCACTAGCATAATTAAGAGATGATGGTGTCACAGACCAATGTGCTGGCATGTGAACAAGTAACAACTATTTCATGGTTTCCAGCAAGCAGATAGCTTGATGACAGAATGATAATCAACGCAACATAGACTTCGAAAAATGCAAATGCCAGATTGCTTTACTACAGTATATGCCTCAGTAATTTCAAATTTATAATTAGGTGAAAATCTAAAACTTTTACCAGCAAGACTTGACCAAATTGCTATATCTGCAATTGACAAATTATGACCGACCAAAAAAGTACACTGCCTCAAATATTCATCCACATAGGCACATGCTCCCTCAAATTCGGAACCAGATGCAAAAACTGAGGCACACTCTAGCCATTTATCAATCTATAAAAAGAATGAAAGGAAAAATTAGCAAACTGGATCCCAACAAACATTAATAAACCAAACATTATTTAACAAGAAAGATAATATTTCAAATGCTACGAAGTTCAGAGAGTTCAAATTAACAGACCTGACCAGATTCGAAGGCATCAATGCCGTAGAAATTGAGAATAGTTCCATTCCCACCAAGATACCGCAGAAGCTCATTTATTCCCTGCTCCAATCTGGATACCGATTGAGTTAATAAAAGCTCATTTGTGTTCAGACACACAGCTATATGTAAAGGATAGAGATAAATCACCCTTCGGCAAGGAGCAAAGTAGGAGGAGAGCCACTACTGAGTGTTGGATTGAAGGAGAGAGAAATTCCGGCGATCTTAGCCGCCGCAATGACTGAGAGCAGAGGGCTATCGGATGAGAACGATAACTTCAACTCCATCAAAACTGCCAAAACTTACAGTGGAGAGAGAAAGGGGCCTATAGACAATAGTGTGACGACCGACTTGGAAGACGAGAGAAGGTCGCGTAAACTTTCCAATTGGGAGTGCACAAATGGTTTTGTCCCCCTTCCTTATCAATGGCACAAAAATACTGTAAACGAGCCGAGTTGCGGTGGGCCCATATCAGTCCAAACCTGCCCAAATGGAGAACTTTTATTCACACATTTGATATAAAATTGAGTACAAAATTGGGTTTGATACATAAATAAAACTTTTTAAAAATGTTTCATATTCTTCAAGAGTCTATTTCTTCAATTTTTTCCCCCAAAAATTTTTCATCCTCTCTTTTTTCTCTACCTTTGTATTTTTTTTCTAAAATTTCGAAAAACAAAATGGAAACTAAAATGATATTGCTACTAAGGACCTTAGTTTCAATGAAGTCATGTTTTTTGGACCACCAATGAGTTAAAATAGATGTTGGAAGATAATAATATGGCGACCAATAGAAACATGCACCAAGGTGACTGGCACATGGTCGCTAAAAGATTTGAATAAAACAGTTTTCCTTGATTTCACAAATTTTAGTTATGGTTGTTGAAAATTTTGAATAAAAATGAGTTTTCCTTGATTTCAAACAAATTTTGGTTATCTTATCATTTTGATATGAATTTAAATAAAGGATTGAACCATATACTTATTTCTACTCAAATTTATATTTGAGTGTAATTTTGAATAAGGGTTGGACATGTCGTAAATCATTTGGTAAAGGTGTTCAAATTGTGAAAATCTCAAATTCAAAAATAAATTATTCATGTTGCATTGGGAATGACTAATAAAGCGCACTTCTTAAACAAATATTTAGTATTTTATAATGAGAAAATCATATTTATTAAATAATTACTATTTGAGTATTAGACAAAAACACTTAGATAAAACTATATCTATACCTATACTACTTCTAAAAGGCATATAGACCAAAAAACTTTTGATTAGCACAAATACCCCCAAACAATTATATAAAGTCAAAATTGGACATATGTATTATATAGCCAGATTTGTATTAATATAATAATTATTGTTGTATCTTATATCTATATCTATATCTATGTTGGCATCCCTTCATCTCTCTCTTTGTCAACTGAAGCTAACGCACACTGGCACCCCTTCATCTCTCCCTCTTTGTCGGCTGAAGTTCTCCTCTTGCATAACCACTCCCAATTGGGATTAGCGGTTGTACAAATTCTACACATTAATGGTTGTCACAGCAATGGCTACATCAGTTACAAAATAGGGATCTCAATAATTGCGACCCAATGGTGCTATTCTTCACCAAGTACTGCATTTTTCTTTCGTTCCCTTCCTCTCCCAGATGCAGACACATCGTGAATGTTGCCATTGCAGAACCAGTGGTACTCTGTTTCTTCTTCAATAGGTACTCTAGTTCTCTTTTTGTATAATATTTGTGTTCAAGTAGTGGACTGTACTAGTAATCTTAGTATCCTGTCTCTTTGGATATTAAAGATATATATCTCAATAGTAACGATATTCATCGTCTTTGTTACAAAATTCATGGTCAATCCTTTTACGGGTAGACGATTTAGTGCATCAAAGAGACGATTGTTGTTTATTTTTGCTTGATTATTGAATAAATAAAGGAAATTGGGACTTTTAAGCCTTTGGGTATAAAATTCTAAACTCCC